TTCTTCTTCTTCTTCTTCTTCTTCTTCTTCTTCTTCTTCTTCTTCTTCTGCTTCTGCTTCTTCTTTTTTGTATGCTTGCTAACAGAAAATTATCAAATTATGGGTAAACAGAAAGCAGTAGCTCTTATCCATAACTCTACTTCAAGGAAAACATGAATGAACTGGATCATTCAGCTGAGAGGGCAATGTCTTGTCATACACTTAGCAGGTAATGTGCCTTGCCAGTATAATCCAGTCCTGAGTTTCTAGAAGCCATGAAAAAGAAGTCCTTGGTATATCAAGGACTGTATGGAGATGGGACATGGGGATAGCTGGTGTTCCTTGTGAATCAGCATCTCAGAACAGAAACACCTAACTTTCCATTAGTCATGTTCAGGTGAGCAGATAACACAGGAACAGTTGACAGGGCCCAGGCCTTAGCTCTGGAGTATGGTTGTCCATCTGAAAGTAATTCTTTTGCAGCTAGTGCACTGTTGTCTAAGAAAAATGGCTGTGACTGTTTTCATTTTTTAGTATATATATGGTGTGTTATGATGTGTGTAGTGTGATTACATGTGTTCATATGTGTGAATGCTTGCATGTCTGTGGAGGTCGGAGGACATCCTCGGGTGTTGGTTTTCAACTTTCACCTTGTTTAAAACTGTCTTTGCTGTTGATCTCTGTAAATGTCAGTTTAGCTGGCCTGCAAGCTCCAGGGATTCTCCTGTCTCTGCCTCCTAGCTCTTCCTAGGAGGACTGGAATGACAGATGTGTGCTGCCACACCTGGCTTTATGTAAGTTCTGTGAATTCTAACTCAGATCCTCACATTTGCACAACACATGCTTTATCCACTGAGCCATCTCTCTAGTCCCTGGAGTTGTTTTTCATGCTAAATAACATAACTATAGTTGTTCCATATTAATATATACAGTAAGAATTTGGGGTCATTCCTTTCTATCACACTCTACAAGTTGCGGTTAAAACAAAACAAAACAAAACAAACAAACAAATGAAACTCCACATTGGTAACTATTATCCAGAAGCTGTTTCAGTAAAGAGGAGGGGACAGAGCCCTGTGAGAGTAGTAGTGCTAACAGAAGCAGGACTGGAGCTCAGAGTTCTAGGCTGGTAGTTGTCAAAATGTAGGTCTGACCAACAGCATCAGTAGCATTTTCACAGAGCAAATTCTCCAGGTCCATCGCATATCCTCTGAGTCAGACACTCTGAGGTGAGGTCCAGCTATCAAAATTGTAAAACCAACAGCTCATGGAGAGTGCTTGTTTGGTGTACATCCAAACAAGTGAAGTGTTCCTTAAAGGAAACAACTCTGCCTCACCCTCATGGACTTGAAATCTTTGCACTGGAAGTGAAGCTGGAGCATGGGCATTTCTGAGCAGCTCCCAAGAAATGTTGGCATTGCTGGCCCAAGGACCGTTCCTTGAGAATCCCCATTTTTGTCCAATCCTCAAATTGTAAACACAAGGAAGCAGACTACTAGAGATCATATATGATTCATACACTGCCTCTGCAGCTGGACCTAGAGTCCAGAACTGCCAACCACTCCACCCAGTTGTTTGTTAGTAAAATGAGAG